CACGGTAGTGCCGCATGGCTTCAAACCTGCGCTTACAAGAGTCAGGGTCGCGGCCCTGACTCCTCAGCCACTGCTGCCGTCCATCATCGTCAAAGGGTGGGGGTGACATGAGAAATATGCCGCCAACAGGGGCCGCGTGCTTGCGCACAAGGCCAATAATTGCCTTCAGATTCACCCTGTACTCCTCCAGTGGCACGTGTTGAGGCAAGCCAGCGCAATCATTGGACCCAAGCATTAGAGTCACAAATAGCGGCTTGTTGATGTATGGGGGAAGAAGATGATGACGCCTCTCGTCATCATTCAGTATATCCAGTATCCAGCGTGTGTTGTAGCCGCTTAGCCCGCGATTCACCACATCTGCGCGGCGCACGTAACGCTCGCTAAGGCGCGAGGCCCAGCCGGATAAGTAACCCTGTTCCGTTAACGAGTCCCCAAGAAGAGTAGTTGTGCTCCATTTCTCACTGACCATCACCTTTTGCGGGTAGTTGCATCAGCGTCGCCCACGCGTTCCACTGCAAAGAGCCAGGAAATGACAAGGGAAGGGGCTACAGGAAATAAGTGGCTGAAAGCACGGCATAAAGACGCTTATACCAGGCTCTATTAGCCAGCTACTCCTTTTATTAAATATGGCATGGTTCATTACGTGTTATGTGCCCCCTCCACACACATACCCACACAAATACTCTGCGTCCCTTTTAGTCCGTAGATCTTGTCAGGTGGTAGTGGTCAAAACTGGTGCATGCGTATTACCAGCATCCGTAACACGTGCTGTACAGCGGCATGTGTGTGCCGCCTCCAAAGTATCACGGGTTTTGGGGAGCAAACAAGTTGGACAGACAACATCGTTAACAAACCACTCTCGCGGAAGCTTCATGTGACGCGGGTACACCCAGCAGGTTTCGCGAAAAATGTGGGTACCCTGCTGTGGCCACACCACCATGCATAGTTGTGCCAAGACATCAAATCCCAACTCGTCGTATTCCGTCGTGCGATTCATGAGGTCTACCCAGTCCAAAGCAAGAAAAACCCATGGCCGCTGTTTCACCCACGACAAGGTTGCTACTTCTTTTGTGCTGCCATTTGTACCTGTTGTCGTCATCGTTGAGGATGCGATCGCACAAATGGTTCGAATGAGTTTTGCCACATCGCGTACGTAGCAGTGGATCGTGTCATCCTCCATCACTGGAACCCGCGAATACACACTGCACCGCATGTTATTCGCGATGTCACAGTCGTACCACGGATGCTGCGCTTCGTTTGCGCGAAGGAAGGCCACAGTGCCGACACGAAGTTGAGCTGGTGGCAGCAGCAACTTCACCCACAGCAGGGTTGACCTCCAATTCCTCCCGTTTTCCCTCCTCTCGTTCCTCCCTTTCTCCACAAGCAGCCAGCCTAGCACCACAGCCGTGACAAACGACGCTCCAGGTGGGGTTGGTTGCCTTGCAGCTACTGCAAATAGGAGTAAACCAGGGTGTATCAAAACGTAAAGTTTGCGCCGGTTTCGCTCCACCACAGCATTGGCAGTGTGTGAAAAGCCATGGAGTAATGGTGTGGCATTCCACACACCGCCACAAGGTCTTTGGTGACCCCGTAGCTGCAACGGGGCTAAGTGTGCCGCACGTCGGGCACCAGGGCTGTAGCAACCCAAGCGGGTTGGGGCGGTTGCACACGAGGCAGTGGAACGATGTCTGCGTTAACGCCTCCTCCATCGCTGGCTGGACAGACCCGCACTTCGTACAGTAAAACAGGTGGTGTGGCTCATTTGTGTGATTGCAGCGCCCACAGCGCCACTTTCGCAAGGGGAAAATAGTGCAGCCCTCCCTCACATGCGGAGCTCCTTGCTCGCCCGCACGTTCTTGTGTTTCGGCACCGCACAGCAGGCAGTCGGGGGCGCTGGTGGGGGAAAAGCCCCCACACAGACACGACAACACACACCACCGCAAGTTCCAGTGCACCACACAGCCAGCACACAGAAGCATTTTTTTTTTGTTCCAGTGTCGACACAGATGGCACTGCCACGGCATTTGCTGCTCTTCCGCAAATCGGCGTTACTCCAATGCAGTCTCCACTGCCGTGACCACGCGCTTCTCCTCGCACCCTGCCTGCGCCACGTATCGCGCAAGGGCTTCCAGTGCAGCAAGCGGCAATTCCTGCAGTGGCGTCAAACAGACGGTGACATCCCTGAAACTTGGAACGATGTGTTGCAGTACGGTGGTCACGGCGTCCTGGTGTTCAACGCACAAAAAGTGCAGCAGCGCCACCCGGTACACGGGCAATCCAAGGTGTGCCAGCTGCAGAGCGGGTAGTAGTTCAAAGTATGACAGCAACGATTCACCCCAGCACTCCGCTAACAGCTTCACATATAATTCAACCGTCGATAAAAGAAGACCATCCCTAACGTATGTGGCACTGGTCAAATGGCGACGAAGCAGTGTGCTCATCAACGCCAACCGCTGCTTCCAGCCTACGGCCGGGTAGCCCGCCAGCGTCCCGCCCTCTCCACAGCACGCACGGAGAATGGTGGCAAACGCCACAGTGGCTGGGACGGGGAAGCCCCAAGTCCGTGTGAGCTTGTATAAACGAAGCTGTCGCCCCAGGACGTCGCCCGCATCACTCAGACAACTCCTTGCCGCACACCCACCGCCTCCAGCATCATGGAACGAATGTGCTGCAGAATTCCAGAGGCAAAGTGTTGCCTAGTGCTCTTCAAAAAATGTGTGAAGACTGACACCGCCTCCGTGTGATTACCGAGCATCGCAAGAGCCTTGCCACTCTCCCATGAACTACCAAGTGCAGGGCAACATGTAAGGATCTCATGAATAGTCTTGTACGCGCCACAACGCAGTAGTAACTTGAAGGAGAGCCGAATACCTTCATGCAGACGTCGTTCCACGCCTGCGCGAGCACCCCGGTGTAGTCCCATGATGTCACGGTCGAGGCCCATTTCGGGTTCGTTCCTGGCAAGAGCCCCTCTAAGTGGGACAGACAACGTGACTGAATAGTCGTTACTTCCTTCACGGCTGCACCGTCCACGTCTATAGCCGTCTCGCCCACATGCTCAAGCGTCATGAGCGTGTAGGCGTCCAGCAGCAGCACTTCTCGGAACACCAGGGGGCCGTAACGTGCATTCACAGCGGCGGGATCGGTTGCTAAACGCTTTCGCCAGAGTGTTGTGAGAGCGACATGCAACTCCAGCACCGGATGCACACGACGGTGGCGATGAAAGGAGCATAAAACACGTCGGAGAGAAAGCAGCGCCCCGACCTGACGCCGCTCCAGCGCCGTTGGGTCACAAAGCACGCAATGTACTTGCTGAACCATCTCGTAGAAAAGAGCACACCAAAAAGGGAAGGAAGATGCTCCCTTGCCGCGGCGTCCCAGAGGCACATCCTGTTTGCAACACTGAACTCACTCGATCCTCCCCGTCCTCGTCACCGACGACATTGCCGCCCGCTGACTTTAGCATCACACACGTTGACGCCGTACAGGCCACGGTGGTTGCGGCCTTGAGCAGCTTCTGCTCAGGCTGCGGAGTCGGGCTGGCGCGGCGTGCGAGCAACCACAGGACACCACCATGGAGCTTCCGCGCATGAAGTTCTTGCAGCCCCTCATGAAGTGTGCGTTCCCCATCACCCATCGTCGCCAGACGACGCACCAGCAGCAGCAGCAGCAACAGGTTCACCACATCATCCGGGTGCAGAGAATTTTTAACCAACGCCTTGGCGCAGTCTCACGCCTCCCGCAGCGTCCAATGCCACTGGTTTTCGTCCACAATGGCTGCTACTACATGCAGTGCAAACTCCCTCTGGACGCCCCACACAAGTCCGATGGCCTCCTCCTGAGTGGAAGTTTCTTCGCCGCGCAAGAACCGTGGGGTTTGAAAGGTGCGACGCAGCAACGCCGTGAACCCCCGGGCGGTAAGTCTGTCCTCCACAATGGCGTCAAACACGACGCCCTCAAGCCACAGCCGCCGTAGCAGCGAAGAGCGGTAAAGCCATAGGGTCAGCGAGGGCGCCACATTGGCGGTCGCGAACCTTCCACCGTCGTCGAGGTGGCACAATTGCTCTAATGCCGATGCCGCTCCGTGGCTGCTACCGCCATGATACTCCAATGGAAGCAGGGTACCTTCGTGGCCCGCCGCTGCGACCCGCATATACGGTGCCCTCAACATTCCTGCTACCCCAAGGTGGCTGCTCCATGAGAGCAAGAGCAAACCAAACCCCAAAAAAAAAAAAAAATGAGAAACAGCCAAGCGGACGGAAGGGGAGAGAGAGACAGAGAAAGCGAAAGTCACACGCATCGTGACACCTCGCCCGCACATCTCCACCGGCCCAGCGCAGCAAAGACAAAAAAAAATCCGGAGCAAACACGCTTGGCATCACACACGGCCTCCCTCCTCGTTAAAAGAGACTGCATGGAACGCTTCCACCACATCCTGCACTGTCACCGCCCGGTTGTTCGTCACCCGGAGACGCTCAATTGGCTCAAAATACGGCACGAGCACCTCCTGCCGCAGCAAACGCAGGGTCCGCTGAAGCATCTCCACCCGAGTCTCAGACGTCAGCGGCGTTGATGCCGACGCGGCTGCCTCAGCAGCCTTCAAGGACGGCGGGGCGAGCACGCTGGTTGGCGGACGCATCGTCCTTCACACTAGACGGCGCCTCGTTAGCCCTCGTTGACGCACGTAAACACGCACACTCAGACAAGAAAAAAATAAAAATAAAATTGAACACACCGCGCTGGAGACGAAGGAGAAAAGGAAATAAAGGCAGGAAAGAGAACATGTGATCAACAAAAACTCGCAAAGTTCAAATAACGGCAGGGCCACATACTACTTGAACTACACAGGCGCCAAAAGCTGCTTTAGCATGGTACCTAACCGCACGTCACCGTTCTCGGCGTTTGCTGCAACGTCATACCGCCCCATCGCCTTCGCAACTGCTGCCACATCTTCCAGCAAGAGTTGCATCGCTGCAGCCATTAGTGGGCGATCGGCGGCGCGTGCGCAGAAGAGTGGAAGTTTCACATCGCCCAACCCAGTAACAGGAGAAATAACGGCAGCAGTTGCAAGACCTGATTTCTCCATCACGCAGCTGCGTCCGCCGCATAATAATAGTGGACGGGGAAGCGTGCAGCCGTAAATTGTGGCAGCCGTAGTGATGAGGTGCGCGGTGGCACCCAAAGCAAGGCCCCAATCGTGCATCGTGTCGTTTGCCGCTCCCAAACCTTTCCCTCGTTCAGGCAGGCAATAACCGCATATGGTGTCCGCCAACCCGGCTGCACCCTCGTTAATAGGGAACATCACCCGTAGCTCTTCCAACCGCAGCCGTCGGACGCCTTCTAGCTGCACACGCAGCGTGGCGAGGGAAAGCTCGTGCTCTGGAAGCCTCTCCCTCGTCTCTTGCTCACGGACCGCCTCAAGGGCTATGCTCGACTGAAGCTCCCCCAGCTGCGCCATCTGCAGCGTCATTGCGTCTTGCTCCTCCTTGTAGCGAGCTCGTAGCTCACGCAATTCGCCGAATAAGCATTCTAACTTCTCACGAGCCTCGGTAAGACGAGCCTCCAACATTGCACGCTGAGCCACTGCAGCGGCCTCCCCATGACTTGACTCCATCATTCCATCGATATCATCTTGCAGTTCCCCACGACGATCCGCCGCCAACTCGCTAAGATAACTCCACGCCAACGTGGCCGTCGCACATGTCTTAAGGTCACCCAGCGTTATTTTCTCCTGCGGGAGATAAATGCCTTTCCCCTGGGACCGCGCCGCATCCACATCCGTTAAACGCCGCAAAGGGTCACCGTCCTCGCACAGGTACGGTGTCTGAATAGGGTCCACCACCACCCCTTCCTCATCAACCTGCATGCCCTGATGCTTCGGAAAAAAGATGCCGTCTGTGCAGCGAAGCAACACTACAAAAGAATTCGGCCTGTTTTCGACGTGGTACGGTAGACTTGGCAAGGCGTCCGCCTTCGTCATGGAGGCGGCCACGTACTCTACATGGGAGGTTTGGATTAGCATCTCGTAAAACAAAAAGTCCGTTTCAGGAGCTGTCACCGCCTCCTCTGAATGGGTCGTGCAACAGTACAGGGAAAAGACAAAGCACGTGACCTCTCCAAACTGCTCAAGAGTGACCTCCGGAATGTGATCCCACACCGGGTTCTGTGTGTCGCGCCGCACCTCACTTGTGTAGATGCGGCGGTCGCCCGCCGACACCTGCACGCTCTCTGCTTTGCCCGGTGGGAGACTCAAGACAAAATAGGACGAGACACAACGCGGTCTCAGTGCCGTGCGGCGGCCGCAACGCACCGCAGCACACATCGATGTGGTGTCCAAAGCCGAGGCCTCAACTCCACCGTCGTCTGGCGCCTTCACCGTCGCCTTCACCGCAGGAAGTGAAACGTTGCGGGCGTAGATGTGCGTGATATGACGAAAGCAGCGGAATTCGGCCGGTAACAAAGGAACTGCCATTTTTTCCAACGCGGGAACCCAGGCAATTGCAAGCTCAAAAAAAAAAAAAAGCAAGTAACAAAGAACGCACAAGAAATAATAAAAGGAGTACTTGATTTTTCTATATATACCTTTCTGTTAAATGCCTGTACGTGCAAAAAGAAATACCTCCTTTGCCTCGGACATTTTTTTTTTTAAGGAGGTAGAGCGGGAAAGAGCGGGGCATGAGGGCGAAAGCACAGAGAGGGGCGGCAGAGGCGTCGCAGAAGCGCGACAGATAAATGGTCAGATGAAATGGATAAAGTTTCAAAGCGCACAAGACAAAAGGCAAGAAAGACAAGAAACAGGAACAAGAAAGTTTGTCAACTGTGGCCTAATAAACTTCCTGTGTGAAGCTCATCCTCCGCTGCGAGAGCTCGCGTTTCTTGTATGTATTTTAAACGAGTAATGGTGCCGATGTTCCCTTCTTCTTGCTTGTTTGTTTGGTTTTTGCATATACATATACATATATGCCTCCCTTGTGAGTTTTGTTTTATTTTTGATTTGCCTCCTTATCCTTGTTGTTGTTCACTTCTGTTCGCTTCGTTTACTCGCCGCTGTCCATCCCGGTCGCGGCACTCGAATTCGCCACCCGCGTAAACCCCTCGCAGATGCGCGCGCACATCACGTGCGCCGTCGTTGGGTACGCACTCAGGCACACCTGCTGCGTCACGTAGTCGACACCGTCAAGGTCGACCTCGTCGGTGCAGGAGATACAGAAAAAGCCCGCAACGCTTTTCACACCGCCCTGAAGCTTGTCGTCCACCGGAGCTGCAAGCGCCTCGCGGGCCAACTGCGTCGCGGTACGCACCGGCGCAGCGACGGAGTTTGTAAGCCCAATGACCGGTGCCCCGTACGGCACTACCGGCGCGACGGAGCCCGGCAATATCTTCATCAGCACCGTCCCATCCACTGAGCGCACCTCGCCGTCGCGAAGCAGCGCGGCAACTAGTCCCTTGAAGCGACGAAACGTGCGCGGGGGGCGCAGGGCGGGGGAGACCTCAATGGTGCGTCCGCTACGCGCAAAGAGGCTGATGTACACCCGCAGCCGCCGCTGCGAGCCGAGCTCCGAGTCGAAGAGGGCAAGGAGGCACTGGTGCACAATGTCAGGGCGGACGTCTTTCAGGGAGGCGTTTGCAATCTCAGTGTTGGCCGCACGGTCGTACGCGTCGACGACACCCTCACGTCCAAGCAGCAGCCCAGCCTTTTCCAAAATGACAACCACGGCGCGCTCGCAAAACGCTGATGCCACCGTCTGCGCGGCCGGATCGACGTAGCGTAGCGGACGATAAACGTCGCTTCTTGCTCCCGGTCTTCCGCCCACACTTCTAGGCCGCTTTGCAGGGTGCCGTGCCGGTCGCGCTGAATTCGGTTGTGGCATGTCACCCAGAATAAGCTGCCGCAAAATGGAGGGGAGAACGCACATAGAGATGAGTAAAAAAAAAAAAAAGACGCACCAACCAAATTGAATAAACAAAATAGTAATAATAATAATAAAAGGGAGGGAGAAGCCTCCCACCTTGGCAAGAGTACAAGCAAGGCAATGAGATGGCATTGGCCCACACAGCCATCCCGTCATGCCTACTGCCTTCTGTTGCATGGTGTTCTCTCACTCTGTGCGTGTGCGAGCTTCTTTGTCCGCGTATTTCTCTCTTTTCCTCCCTCCTTACTCATACCCCACACCTCCTTTTTTTCTCTTCACTCTCTTTGTTTTTCCTCGCCCTCCACTCTGTCCTTTTCCTTTAATCCACATGGATTATCTCTGGGCTAAACCCTGTCGCCTGCGTCGCCTCCGCCCCTAACTCAGCCGACGAGCTGATCACACCCCCATTGCTTCTGAGTGTATGGTGTGTCATGTTCGCCGCGGCGCACGCAAGCTGCTCCAGCCGCACAAGTGTTTCTTCCTCGGACGGCTGCAAAGCACGCCCCGCCTTCAGCCACTGCAAAACCGACCGCATCGTCTCCTCGCTGCGCCGCAGCGACGTAATAAACCGACCCTCGTGGCCGCCAACCCCACTCTGTGAAGAACTGAAAGAGGCGTCTGGCGCAGAGTCAACAAAAAAGCCCGTAGACTGACTGCTCGCTGTTGTCGGAACGCAGCGTGACAGGCAACGCTGCCACTCCGCCACGCGATAAGCCAACGGACTTCCACAATCACACAGGCTGACATCGGCGTCCGCAACGGCAACTCCCTGGAGTAGCGTCCTCAGTGCGGTCGTCACTGCCTCCGACAGCCGAAGTTTGCCTAACGGCACCACCGTATTGCATTGTGCAAAGTTGCGGAGACATACAGCAGCGTGACACCGCAGCATCCCATCTACCCGAGCCTCTTTTCCGTCATCGGTTAGAGCAAAACTGATGTCTACAAGACGGCGTATGCACGCCAAAAAGGTAGGGTCCTCAGAGAGGACAGTCCCGGTCAACGCAATGAGCTCCGCCGCCACAAAACGCGCGCATATGCAGACGGCATGAGGGGTGCTCGCCTCCTCTGTGACGTGTTGAAGAACTCGTGTGGCGCTCAGCAAGACGGCCGTAATGCTATTCGGCGACGTCACTCGCTCAAGGATGTCATTCACTCTCCCAGGGGCAGAGGCAAGTGTTACGCATAGTCGAGCTGCACCGTCACGGTTGGTTCGCAAAGATGCGTGATGCTTCCAATCCACGAGAGCATCCTGGAGCTCGTCTTGAAGACTCTTTGCCGCCTCCTCCGTGCCGCCTGGTGCCTCCCTGTCGGCGTTCGACGGCTCGTTCCACCACTGATAAACGCATGACTGACGGTAGAGTATATCCGCCAAAGCACAAAATGAAATTGAGTTGGATGTGGGGCGCTGCATCGCTGTGGTTTCTGAAAATGCTTCAAAAAGTAATTTTGGTGGACACCGCATCCGTCTGCAGACTTCCGCCAGAAGCGCCGCCAAGGCGTTCAGCAGACGTCGCAAGAAGATCGCCCTGTCGCGTGATTCTTCTGGAAGCCACTGCAGGGCGCGGAGCTGCTCGTCACCAAGCTGCAGCAACTCCACAGCAAGTCCCTCCCTATCGGTGTTGGATAGCCGGTTGAGCACTGCCTCCCACACCAGCAGAACACACGCGGCACTGGTGTCATTTGGGACAAGCAGCGCCGTCATGAGCAGACCAAACACACGGCAACGCAGCAGCGAACCACAACTTGACAACCCATCCTCCTGCCCGCACCCCACTGCACAGCGTACGGCATCCACAGCTCGGCACGCAAGTTTTCGTAGGAGCAGCAGCAGCTGCGTGCTGAGGTTCACCTCACCTGCGGACGCGGCGGCCTCCTCTCTGCCGCGCTCCACAAAGAACACGGCACGTGGAAGATTCCGTGCGTGTCGCACCACTCGATGGCACAAAACTGCGCCAACATCCTTGTCACATAACCCCGCTGTTGTCATCGGTGGCGTTGCTGCGGCTTCTGCCGCCTCCCCCAGGTTTGTCCCCTCAGCTAGCACAAGTGGCATATCTGGCAGCCACAGGAGGAAGGCAGCCAGTACCTGCTCCACATATGCCCCGTCGCAAGCCTGGAAAGAGCGTGTCGCAGCCAACATTGCAGCAAATGCCGCTACAGAAGAGCCGGCAGCAACTGATGCCGACGGCAACTCCGCCGTCGCATCCGGAGGTGGGTCAGCCAGACATTGTAGGAGCAATCTCAAATGCACCTCTACGGGGAGCGGGGACACCGCGGAACAGAAAGACCCCATCGCCTCTAAAATGGCCAGCAGGCGGACAACGATGCTCTGATGCAGCTGCCGCGCCGCCTCGGTGTGCTCACTCGTTGCAACTGTCAGGCAGACAATCACATGAAGCCCCACAATCGTCTCAACCAGACTCTCGTCTCGAGTGGCAAAGGAAGGATGCGCTCGCACTGCTGAAACCACGTGCGAGGCGACAAAAGAAGCTACCTTTATCTTTTTCCCGTCGGACCAGTCGTGGGAAAAGATGTGGTGCTGCAGCTGAGAGAGCATAAATTGTACAACCCCGCTGTACACGGGAGCGCTAATGCTCGTGAGTGAGGAAACAGAAAGAAGCAGCTTCCACGCCGCGTTCATCAACACAAGATTGTGCCCCAGCTCAATCGAGCCACATAGACGCAACAGCTCAGGAAGAGCATGTGCCTCGTCTAACAAGCACGGCGTCCGCTTTTACTTCCCGCAACGCCGACACCTGTCCCGATCTCGATGCAGCCTGGAGCGCATCTAGAGCCGTACTCATCGCCTTCGCCGCCGTTGCCTCCTGCGACTGCGACATAACACTAATTGAAACTTTCCCTGCTTGGGGGAAACCCCTCCTTCTTGCGGAGCCAACGCCCACTCTCCACGCACGCACACACACAAGACCGTGTGCCACATCACAAAAAGCAAAGAAAAAAAAAGGAGGCAGCCAGAAACGGCAATGACATGAGGTGCACACGCAGTCACACAGGGAAGCAACAGCTGTAGTGGCCGCTCTGTTTATCCCGTGCCCCGTTCCTCAGCTGGTAAAAAGACCACTACCAAGTACTCTCAAGAAAGAGGCCCTGCACGACAGCATGGCAGTAAAAAGCAAATGTCGCGAATTCGTCACACGTCAGTTCGTTACCTGATCCGAACGCCCGTCCAAGATTCCCACGGCGGCAACCTGCATGGTGCTCGGCTCCCTGCTCCCCTGTTCATCGTGCCTGCGGCAGACAGTGATGTCCCCGAACTTGACACATCTAGGGCCTGCAACCCTGCGTACATGTCCTTTCGCTGGAGTGTTCGCCAGTTTTGCAGCACAGGGTGTGGATAGGCGTTGACGCAGTGAAATATCTCAAACGCCAAATCAATCTTATCACGCGGTGTCCCTCACGATATGATCGAGAGTGCCGTGACTAACTGCCCCAAGCTGATGACGCCATCGCGGTCCTGGTTAAAGGTAGCAAAAAACATTTCATGCAGAATGGAGTGTTTGACCCACCAGAAAAACGGTACTGAAGTAAAAAAGATCGAAGCCAGTGCTGTGAAGAAGCTCCCCGCCCAACTCCGGCACTGTGGCGAACAGGTCGTGATAAAAACACGGGTATAACTTCTGCAGCTCCTCGGGCCGACAGTGTGTGTTGTTGGCTAGCGAGACAGCCTCCACGTGTGTGAGTGGCGGCGCCTTGGCCGTCTCCGACACAGAGCTCAATTCCAATCTCATCAGGGCCCCCACACTTCCCCCCCCCCCCCCCAAGATGAAGGAGCAGCTACGCAAAGAAACAAAAAAAAAATGTTAGAAGACATGCCAAAGCAGAAAAGCAGCACGACTGCACGCAGTGAATCAACAGAAAGAAAAAAAAAAAACATGGGTTGGCACAAAGGAGGCAGAACTATTCTTTGGGTTGTATTGAAGGGTATAAAGCAGAAGACGATATCTATCCATCTACTATTTCACTGTGGGTGGTGCAGCCTCACCGCACCCCGCTGGAGGCCCCTGCACTTTTGCTTCGCGCTAAAAAAAAAAAGCCAATGCAGACACCCCTTACCGACTCTCTGTTTGACACCCATACAAATTGTTAGTCATTGTTGTCCTTGTTTTTTAATTGTTTGTTGTCTAACTCCTCTAGTCCGAGGTGAAGTAAAAAATAAAATAAAAAACAAACAAACTCTATGCGTAAGTACATACATGAGTATGTACCTGTGATAAACGTGTGTGCCTCTACCGATGTTGAAGTTGAAGCGTCATAGGCGGGGCGGGTGGTACTCGTATCGGTGTGGCCTTAAGAGCCTTTTCAATCCCTGTGGAGTCTGCAGACTTCACGCTTGTGTGCATCTCCGATGAGCCACCGCCGTCCTTGCTAGTCGAAAGACTCGTGACAGGGACCTCAACACCTCCGCCATCCGTTGCCTGTCCCGCCCCAATCTCCTGCGCAAAAACCTCTCTCGCGACACGTGTCGCCCCAAAATGTTCAACCCACTGCAGCACGTACTGCACCTGAGCATTCAACTGCGCGTTTCGTTCCTCCAGCCTCGAGAGTGTGTCACGGTGTTCCATTTGCAGTACCTGCAAAGTGACCTCCAACTCTTCACAGCGTGCTTCTGCCCGCACAGCCCGTTGATGAACATCTTGTAGTGATTTCTCCAACAATCCCAAGCGAGGCTGCAACGCCGCTTCACCCTTTCCCGTGCTAACCCCTCTTGCTTCGCCGAACATCGTCCGTGGGGACGTCACCCCCGCAGAAAACGCTGCTCTCGCCGAAGACAGCAATTTACGGGAGGGTTGAGATTGAGTCAGAGGAGTCCCTTTTGAATGATCCGTTTCCTTCGCCGCCGTCCGCTTCTCTTTTGAGCTGGGTGTCCGTTTGATACCCTCAACCCACGGCCGACTACGATTCTCAACGCTTGCGCCACGTGTCACCCGTCGCGGCTCCGTTCGTGGAGCACTTACAGTAGGTTTCACACGGGGAGTTGGGCGGTTTTGGTTCCAAGCAGGACGTGCTGGCGATTCACCTCTTGGTGTCCGTTTCATGGGGCTTGACCGTGTCATGTGTGGCCGATCTGGCGACGCGCTTCGTCGTTGCTCCACCTCGCATGGTCTTTGCTGCAGTGATGGCCTTATCTGGCGAGGTGGAGGCGAATTTGCCGTCAGTTCCTCCACTGCAGCGGCCGCAGCGGTGCTTGTCTCATGAATGCCGCGCAAAAGCTCCTCAATCTGCACACGGTTTGCGGAGCCTTCCAGCTCCCCCAGTGGATCAGTATGGCAAGGGCTTTGCTGATCCCTGCCCGCATGCCGTGATCGGTAGTAATCGCTCAGGGTGCCCCCCCCCTGCATGTGCCGCTCTTGTAACTTGCCCCGAAGCATGCGGGTCCCTGTAAACAACGGCAACGACGACGACGCCGAGGGCTCCAGCGTCGGTACTCGGACAACGGGGGGTTTGGAAACACGTGGAGTCACACCTGGAGCAAACATTGAACCCCTTGTTTGTATGGAATAAATCTATATCGTCCCCCTCCCGATATTGTTGTTGTTGTTCTTCTTTCTATCTCTCTTTTTTTCTTATTTTTTATGTCTTACTGCTGCTGCTGCCGCCACCGTTACGCAGTCACCCTACACCCTTCCTCCGCTGTTGTTGGCGTCTGACCTGTGCCGAGGCAGCCAGAAGAAAAAAAAAGGAAAGAAAAGGACAAGATGAAGCTTCAACCATTGAAATAGTCAACACCTTTACGATCAGCACGAGATACGAGATGGGCGGTCAGAGGAGAATTCATGTCGCCCCCATACGTTTCACGCTTCCAAGGCGGCCCCTGAAAAAAGAGAAAAAAAAAAGGATATTTCAATCCTTTGGCTCTGTAGTGCGTACAATTGTGCGCATGTATGTATGTGTGTGTGCCGATAAAGGAGAGGAAAAGGTTGGCAAAGAGGAACTGCACGAGGAAAGCGAAATGAAAACAGAGTTGGGGAAAAGGGTGGATCTAACGGCGTGCCTTCTCCACCTCGTTGCATTCGGATGGCCAAACCATTAGTAATAACCACAACAGAAATAAACAGTGCCAACCTTCGCACAGCCACACCCCGAACCCCTTGCAACAGGGCGTTCGGTACGATACGAAGAGTTTATAGAAACATAAAAAGAGAGAAAGAGGAGAAAGAGAGAGAGCGAAAAGGGAGGGTGGTATTGACCAATGCAGCAGCGCATGAGCGGAATCATACTTACCCCGCTGTAAACAAATCAACAGAAGGTGTTGTGAGTACAACGCGCAGCGTGAATACACGTTTTACATTTCATGTCTGTTATGGTCTTTTCTGGTTTCCCTTGTATTCGCCCTCCTCAGGCCCGCTGTCCCGTCTCTCCCTGCCAACTCGTGTTGTTGCTTGCAGACGGGGGAAGCAGGAAAGGTTCTGTCGCGATGTCTGAGCAACTCCGCCCCTTCCCCTCACCCTTCTTCCCTCAGATCCGTATTTTTTGATGTTGTTCCTCCTGCTGTTGTAATCTCTCAACAATAATCCTTTTTTTCCCCCGCTTAGATTTTGCTCCGTTACAGCCTCCTCGTCCTGCCGCTGCTGGGGACCGCCCGCCCACTCGCTCGCGCTGCCGTGGGGGCCGGTCAGCGGTGCCCAGCGCGTTTCCCCCATTCACGGCGCGGAATAGGCGGAGGGAACGCCGAAGTTATGAGACCGGAGGTACAACACGACGTTGGTCAGAGCCTCATACCACGTGTCTGCCTTTATACGCCGCTCGGTGGCCAACTGCAGGACACGCTTGGTGGTTTCCACCAAAAGAACGTGGTAGGTCCGAGGGATGCCGTCGTCACTCGGGTACTGCAGCTCACGAGAATCCACATGAAGAATCTTCTCAAGCTTGATGGCCCCGGCAAAGGCGCTCTCGTAGGTTTCCTTATGCGCCCACAGCAGGAGATGAGTCTGTGCATCCACCCACACCCACCGTGGTGAGACGGCGGCGCCGTTGCCGCCCCACTTGTAAAACCAGTCACCAGCCGCCAAAATAGACACGCTGGTACAAATATCTATCGTAGTTCGCGTGCTCGGCAACCCAACCACGTCTTTGGTTGGTCCAGCCATACTGTCGCGATTCGCCCCAGATACTGAGGCTCCTTGAGGAAGCGGCGAGCCAGGCGGTCGCCGGCGCTGTTGTAAAGAGACAAACGGGTTCCATTCATCCTTCGTACCGTTTCCGGTGTATATCACTGTTCCTGCCGCTTGCCAGTTGCGCTCGGTGGGGGACCCACAAAGAAATTCAGCCGCCCTGTTAGGCTTGAAGCGTTGAGCCGACATTTGCAGCACGCCTCTTGGGCCACCCATGTAATGGCGCAGTGAGCTGTCGTAGCGCCCGTAGCTTCGTGTCTCTCCATGCCGACCCCTGCTGTAGCTTTGCCTACTGTCGCCGACATCCCTATGGCGGTACCCGGGCTGGCGTTGAAAGGACCGTGTCCCGCTGTGCCACGACGAAGGGGGGCGGAGTGACACGGTCCTCCCTCTGCGTGAGCCACCTCCGCACCACCATGAGGGAGAGGCGTCGGATACGCCATACGTCAACAACGGCACGGTTCGACGCGGAGACCTGGCGGAGCAGAAGCCGGTGCCATTCCCCACGAAGGAACTGGTGTCCTCACAGAAGGCAGAGGAGGTCCTCAAGGGGCGCCACGTACAAAGCAAGTTTTCGTTGCTCCAGCGACGACAATTTCTTCCAAAGTTGCCGCCGTCACGAGTACCAAAGCGTGGTGAACGGATTTGGTTGCACAGCCCCGTGTCACGCTCAGCCGCGTTCCCGCCCAAATTCGGCCATCCCTGGTTGAAGCCTTCGTTTTCCAAGCCGTCTCGCCGGTTGCCAGGCCCTGTAACTACCGCGGCTCGGGTCGCTTGGGCGGCGTTTTCACACGGCTCTGTTGCGTCCGTCGCACTGTAGCTCAGCGCAGCTCGTGGATTGGGGCTCAAGTCTGGCTTCGTCAGTGTTGGCGACCCCCCACTTCCCGTGACCTCCCACTGCCCGGTCTGTGTCGCAGTGGAGGGGCCGCATCGGTTGCCGTGGCTGACGACCACTCCACGTCTACGGCGGTTCTCTAAAATCCGCTCCAAATGCGCCTCATGCAGCGAATCCATGCCTTCGTCCCCCTGCAGTGAGTGAGAAGAATAAAATAAACAAAACAAAAGATAAATAACAACTATTAAATGTTGTGGTGGAAGACGAAGAATTGCGAAAGACGTGAACATCATTCAAGCATCTCATGCTTGTGTGTCCCATGTACGGTGTTGTGTAATACAAGGAACACGGAAAGAAGCAGGAGGGTGACAAATAGAACTGCAAAGAGGAAGAAAAATCGGGAGGGGTAAAAACGAGAATCCAATAGAACAACTCACTTCTTCTGAGCAAAAGAGGGCGCCTCTGTGAGTCCATGAAACAAATCCCATTCCTCCTCCAATTCCTGCATCTGCTCCTGTTCAGTCTTGGTGTTACCAGTGAAGTCTTTGGCGTGAAAGAAGGTCACTCTATCACCGCGCTGAATCCCCGTGTTTGTGCCTAGAATAGTCCAGTATGCCTCAAACCTATCCACCGCACACGCCGCGCGGAATGCCGCTGGAACCTGAAACGCGTTGACGAGGTTGTCCAAGTGGGACTCTGGGACGTTGGTATTGCCTGGGCTCAGCATCTGCTGCGCCAGGATGTAATCCAAGCAGTCTTTCTGGCGCGTCAGGGCGTAGATCCATCCGATGTCGCGTAAAATCCTTCGCGCACGCGGGTCGGTGCACGCCTGCGTCTCGTCCATCATCACTTCCACGAAATACATATCCATGTAGGCCTCACCGCAATGCAGCACCTGCTGATGACGAAACATCACCCAGTCGTACCACTGGTGCTCCGCACCTCCCCTTCGACGCTCAATTTCGCGTGACAGCCGCAGTAGCTTTTCAGCGCGGTGGTGTTTGTGACCAAAAAAAAACAAATGTTTGCCCAAATTGGCAATGCGAGGATAATAAAAAGGATTTTTGACAAACCTGTCCACCGCGGCAAAGGACTGCAACACGCTTGTAAGCCACCAGCCCCAATGGCTGGTTCAGATGCTCCTTGTGACTGACTTGAAGGCAACTTCGCGAATCAAGGATGACAGATCGGCGCCTTCCTGTCGCATGTGCAGCATCAAAGCTGCGTCATTGTTGCCCGTGCTCTCCAGTGAGGCGTGGACGCCCATAAAGGCATGCGCGAAACGGTGCAATTCAAGCAGGGTCTCCTGTAAGAAGTGGACTGTCCCAGCCAGTTTCATCTCATCCTCGTAGTTTTGGGCGCCGCCCCGTTGTTGGTGCTGCAAACACCGAAAGGACACGACACCAATCTGCCAGGTACACGTACGAGTTTGCAACAACCTTCACAAGCGGTGTTTGTACATGCTGTACACCAAAAAAAAGTGTAATTGAGTCTCCCATCGGTTCCCGCCACACTCTTTTGGGCAATGAAAGGCACGACGTTCGCCAAGAGCCGCCTCAACGTGCCGGCGTAGAGTGCAGCGGTTGCCAAGCGCGTTTGCAGTGTCAGTGACTGAAGCAACGTCGGCATATCCGCCTCGTCCGCTACCGAAGATTCCCCCCCCTCCCCACGATCCGTGATGGGAGTAGCATGGCGAAAACAGGGAGGCGAACGTTATCAAAGTGAAGGGCACCCACACCGCTTGCACTCATCGTTGGATGTTCCCCCTGTATGGGCCGCATGCTTACGACCTTCCTCAGCGCACCGCCCTCCCGCAGCTGAACGACAAAGGCGTGATGGCCGTGGTTGTCCTGCTCGTTCAGGGTCAATGTCACCGTCACAATCGCCCAATCCGCAAACCCCGCCCCCACCACAGCGAACTTCCCTCCCCCTCTCACCACAAAGCACCTCCCATCCTTGTCATACCGCGCCTCTGTGTTCAACGGAGCACTGTCTGCGACAAGCTCCCGATGCGCGATTGCCCCAATCACACGACGGGTGTCCGCATCATCTAAAATCGTCTTCTGCATCTCATTTGTTCCGTGTGTCGTGATCATCGACGCAAAGGTAAAGTGATCGGCAGCAACCAATGCCAATGGGGCACTGCATGTAGCTAACACCTCAAAAAATGCAGGAAAACCCTGGGGAGTTGGCTTTACTTGTGCAAACAAGAGCAACTGCTTCTTGGCCACGGCACAAAGAAGTTGCACGGTGCGTTAGGGCAACGCCTCCTACTACCAGGCCTCATCTGTCCTATCAACAAAATTGGACGGTTTCTTTGCAATTACCTCAAGCAAGGCAGCCCGAACTTCTGCTCCGTAGTCGATATCCCTGCCTTCACAGATAAAACGGAATATTGACTCCTCAGACGCGTGTTCCATGCTATACAGCTGCCTCGCTGGATTCAGCTCTAGCCATAGTGAAAAAGAACGATGAAATACGCGGTACTGGACGCAAATTGGAGTAGCCATCATTCCAGAGTTGGCAAGAGGTGTGGCAAATGCGGTTTGTGGAGGGCGGCGTGTGGCAGTCGCAGCAGACAAGCGTGAAACACCACGCGGAAGCACTCCAGCAGCCATCGAATGAACGCACAATGTGTACTGCATCCCTGCCCTCATGGTCAGCATAGAATGCATGTGTGGTAATAATAATAATAGCCATAATAATAATAAGCGGGAAAGTGGGAGGGGGGGGAGCGGGAAAGTGATGCAAAAAACAAGCCAGATCCTCCGTCACCTGTCTAGTAGCAGGTGAAATGCAGCACCGCAGAAAAGCGCGGGACGGTGTGACAAGAGTGCCGCTTCCACGTTTATCTCGCCTGCTTCAAGAAAGTTGCCTAACAATTTAAGTGAATTGGGGAATTGATGGAGCTGGGGCACCACTGCCACTATGTTTCCCCCTTTCTCTCCTTTGTTGTTGTTGTTTCTTTTCGGTTGACTTTGTCATCACCGTCACCATATTCTTTCCTATCTCCCTCTCACTCCACTCCTCCTTCTTTTCCCAAATCTCAGTTAATTGCCTTCAGTTTGTGTCCATTTCGTACCACTCGGAGTTCGTCATCCAATCCTCAGAGGCCAGACGCGCGTGGGGAACAGAAAAATCGCCTTTCGTGGCGCTGTGCAAGTTCCGCTGCACACAGGGAGTTGCTTGGACTGTTGAATTTGCTTTGTCGTGGTGTGTCCGCCAATCAACAAAACCGATTTTGCGTCCAGCACCACCAATCCCCCGTTTTCCTTCACAGTACGCACGCGAACGAAGAGTGCCGAGCCGAACAGCTGCTCCACCCGCCCTGTTTGCCCGATTAGGTGGTAGGGAGTGTTGGGGCTGGTTTGTATGTTCACCTCCGACCCGCGCGTTATGACGTTGTTCAGTCGATCTGTCGTCTGACGTGAGCTTGTAACGGCAGCCTTGATTTGCACGGGTGATAGGTAGCGCGTCTCACTGCGGTCCGTCAAGACGCATATGTCGTTGCGGTTAATGCGTACGATGCAACCCACGGAGGAAGTGTCAGCCAGCATCACTAAGTCAAACAGCCGCCACGAGCCAGAGGTGTGACCGAAGGAGCCAATCAGGTTGCTCTGGTGGCAATCGCTGGCACGCACCGCCAACTCACGCGAGGCAGTGGCCCTATCAGAGAAAATGTACACCACGTCTCCGGAGGCCTTCACCACCGTACCACTCTCCCCGGCCCGCTCTCCACTGTTAACTATAACATGCGTGCCAACCGCAAAGTGCTTCACACACGTCGCCAGCTCAACACGCACCTTTATCGTCTCCTTCCTCCCAGTGACGTGACACGCGAGGGAAACCGTATTGGTGTCTAAAAATATATTTTCAATAGTACCCACAGTCTCTCGCAGCTGCCCCGACGCCACCCGCACGGTATCACCAATGCGAAGCCCTGCCCCTTGATGAACGTCCGAGACAAACTGCGCAACAGCCTCACGTACACGTTCACGGTCATTATTTAAAAAAAGAGCGAGTTCCTCCACAGTTGGCTTCTCCATTTGTGGGCCGCTGATCACCATGCGGGCAGAGATGGTCTTGAGCAGGTAGCCCTCCTTGTCAAAGGTCAAATCTCCCCAACGGTAAAAATTGCCACGATCCTGCACATATGCCGCAAGTGTGGGAACAAAAAATCGTGGCGGCAGGCGTGTTTCAACCTTGTTAAACGATTTTCCAATGAAGTCCTCACGCGGCACCACCTTCACAGTAACTTGATTATTACCGGGGTGCATCTCAACCACCTGTGCCAGGTCCAGCCGGTACTGTCGCTGTCGCAGGCGAACAAAGGAACCCACCCGCAACTTCTCCGGCGACGGCCTTTGCTCCATCATCTGCATTAATTCAGATGGGTTCACAAGGGTGATGTTGTAGCGAAATAACCCATCCAAACCGTTTAGAGTGTTCTCGACAAAAACCTTGCGATGGGCCTCAATGTATATGTACTCCCTCACGTGGTCCAGGCAAAAGACGGAGATGATGCCCAGATCAACCTTCCGTTTTTCGTAGTTCCTCCCAATCCGGTAGGCGTAGCACTTATTTACAATCCGAGCTACAAGCAGACGCGCCATCCGTGGTCGGCACTTCACGGCAAACACTCTCGGGTCCGTGTCCCGCGGCAAAAGATGAGACGCGTAGCGTAACGACGACATGTTCCCTTTGCCTAGGCCTGCCGATAGAAACGCCTCTGCCTGCCCTCCTGCCTTTCTGGCGCGGTGACGCTCCTCGATGGCGCGTGCCAATTCCTCGCTTGTCATGTTCTCCTCTCCCTCGCGGAATATGTGGGTTTTGCGCGGTTCATACGTAGGCATATCGTCACGGTAGACGCTATCCTCATTCTCCTCGTCACTCCCCACAATAAAGTCGTCACCCTCCGATTCTGAGCCACCGCTTTCTGCTGCATCTATGACGTACTTGGAACGCTTCCTCGGAGCTTCATCCGAATTCTCAGCACTTTCTTCGTGCTCCTCCGCATTAGACGGGTTGCTGCGCTTGTGGACGCGACGTAACCGCTTGTTTCTCTTCTTGTGCCTTTTCCTGCTTCCAGAATCTTCGCCGCTCAAATACGCATCCTTGGCCGCCTCTGGCGGTGATGCATCGAGCGCCGCCACGTCAAGCAGCTCCTCATCCCCGAGAAGGTCTGCAAGCTCACTTACGTTTAATTCCTCCGCCATGTCTACAGCAACACCCACGGAAGAAAGAAAAAAAAAAATGTTGTTATTATTCTGGAACAATTCTGGACAAGGAAGGTTGGAAAAAAATAATACTAATAAGCATGAACAAGATACTCGTTGCCATCACTGTCACATGCCTCTACAAAACATCACTGACTATAGCTTTCCTTTCTTCCGCTCCCTGCACGTGTCTGTTGATCCCGGGTTTCTCCTCCCACACCTGTGCAATACCGGTTGTGTATTATTACTTGTTTCTCCTCTCTTTTTCACCTTCTCCCTTTTTCAGCGTCTGCGCATGCTTCAGAACAGTAACAAGGTGAAAAAGAAAAAAAAAAGAGGGAGGGGGTCTCTAGTGTATATCCTTTGCCGTTTTTACCCTCAACGCGCCAAGTATTCCCTTCCTGGTGAACGCGGCAGTCAAGAAAATCGCCTGAACCCTTTCAACCCATTATCCCCGACGATATTTTTACCGACAATCAGTGGGCCTTTCAAAGGTGGATTTCCGCTAATAAACCAACAC